CTTGCACTGCTCCTAGGTACTAAGCCAGCCACGACACACAGCTGCAGAAATTCACACCTTTTCTCTGGGTTGCTCTGAGTGAGTTGCAAAAGGAGGGCTTGAAAAGGGCTGCAGGCTCAAGCCCGGGCATCCTTTCTTTCCACCCCCTCTTTAGTGACTCAGAGCAACCCTGTCCCTGCGGGAGGCTGCGGCCTTGCCCCGAGAACCCCTTCCGCGTGAGGGTTGCTTGCGTGGGAACTAAAGCTGAGGCTGCGGCTGTGGAGGGCTAACAGAAAAGAGCCCGCACAAGGACTCTGTGGTCACGGCACGTCCAGAGAGCCTGAGTCCAGACAGGGCTTGCAAGACTGCACCAGCATGTGGCTGGCAAGGCTGGCTCAAGCGGGCTGCAAAACGACTACAAGCAGTGCACTGTTTTCCCCTCACTCGCTTCAGAGGGCTGTGACTGATGCCTCCAGGAAGTTCTCTCTCCATGAGGGATGCAGCGTGATAATCTCGGGCTGGCAGAGCTCTCTGAGCGAGAAGCTGAAGCGGGCTAAAGGCCTGGAGCGAAACCTATCGAGCTTCTTTCTGCTGAGCTTGTCTGCCCAGACGTTCTTCTTGCCGGAGACGTGGGAGGCGAGCAGGGCTACAGAGTGGGCGTGCGACCACGACGCAACAAGGCGGAGGAAAAGGCTAAGCGGCCAGGCTGTGGAGAAAAGCTTGTTGACCCCTGCCTCCGTGGGAGTGTTGTCCGAGCCAGCGGGCATGGCGAAGGAAAGGTACTTGTGACCCAAGCGGCTGTGCGCCATCTGCAGAAGGGCTAGCTGGGCTAGGGTCTCAAAACAGGCTATGTACTTTTTGGGCGTTTTTATGCAGCTCAGCCACACCTCCCGAATCTGAGCGCAGGCCGTCCTTGGTGCACAGCCAGCCGCCTATCCCCACGGTCTGAGAGGGGCTTGGTGGGAGTGGACTGCACACACGACAACAGCCAGGCTAGGGCTTCCTTGCTGCTTTTGGTGAGGGCTATCTCGGAGGCTGTGGGGTCAGCTATTCTGACCCAGGTAGGCTTGTCCGAGTTGGGAAGCAGAGGCACGTCTCATTTTCTGCGCACTCTGAGGCTGCCTACCTCAATAACTCGGGCGGAGGCTGATATGTGGAGGCCGAGCTCCATGACGATGAGCCCAGAGACGACCTGCAAGGCTCCTGCATCAATGACATAGCCCCCCAGTTCGGAGGTCCCACGGTGTACAAACACTTGTGGTTCTTTTTCTGGTCGGACACAAGACGAGCTGCTTAGACAATGCCACAGCCCTCAACTCAGGACACTCACTGGTTCAGCCTTGACCCAGCCCTGGGCACATGCTCGACCTCCTTGTCGGCTGTTGCGGCTGCTCCTCCTGTGCTGGCTGCGAGGGCTGCTGGCTCTGCTCTGGCTCCAGGAATGCTGGGGCTGGCGCCCTGCCTGCGGGCTTTGTTGCGGGCTGCGGCTCCATTGCGTTGCTGGCCGCCTTCGGCTTGCTGCTGCTGCTGATGTGGGCCATCTGTGTCTGCAGCTGCTGCTGTATCTGCTCCTGAAAGGCTGCCAGCTCTGATCGCATGTCGCTGGCTTCGGAGGCTGTGTCTGCAGGCTGCTGCTGGGCGGAGGCTTCGGCTGAGTCTGCCCCTGCCTGGTGCTCCGCGGCTGACTTTTCTGAGGGCTTGCTTCAGGGCTGCGGCCTCTTGTGCCGACTGCCGGCTGGGGGCTGCTGCTTGCTGGGCTGCCTGCCCCGCTTTGACAAATCCTCGCGGTGCTCCCGCTCATCGTTCCTGTCGCAGTGCTCCTCCTCTGTGATGTTCGCCCAGGACTTGGAAGCGGGCTTTGCAGGAGGGGGCTGAAGCTCAGGGCTGGCCAGGTTGCCTCCTGACTTGGGCCTGACCTCCGGTGCCTGGCCCCATGCTAGCCACCGTCAGTGCAAGGCTGCGTTGACGGAAAGCGGCCTGCCCTCAAGATCTGTAAGGTCATCTGGGAGGGCTCCGTGATCGTTGAAGTAGGCTCGAAGACTGCGAGGGCTGATGATGGCGCCCTGTCTCTTGACTTGCGGAGGCTTTGAGGTAGAGGCTGTTGCTGCTTTTACTGCGGGCTGAGTCTGTGCAGGCGGCTCCACTGGCTTAGCGGGCCGCTGCGCTGAGGCTGCCGGCTCTGGAGCGGGCTTGGAGCACTCTGCGGGCTGCGTCTCAAGCAGGCGCTTCCTGGCCTCTGGCGTGAGGTTGCGGAACCAGCTTTCAAGCACGGCTTGCTGAGGAGGGCTGCCGCTGTCTGTCTGCTCTGAGGGCTGGGCTGCTGGCTCTGAGGGCTGGGGCTCGCCTGCGTCTGAGGGCTGTGCATCTGAGGGCTGTGCATCTTGAGCGCCCTCAGCGGGCTCTTCGGGGGCTGTGCGGCGCCTGTCGGCTGCAGGGCTGCAGGCCTGCCCTTCGGCGAGGGGGCTTGGCTACCATCACGTCTGAACGGTAGGGATGCCCTGGGAATCTGATCAGAGATCTAAGATTCTTGACTGCATTGGTTGCTGCGGGCAAAACAACAGGCTGAAGGCTGCAAGTGACAAGTGCACACACCATGGCTCAAAAGGAGGGGGCTGAACATACAACATGTTGGTCAAGACTGTCTGCTCTACTACAGCTAGGCATGCCTAAAAGCACCTCTGCAGCGGAGAGGGCACTTGTCAGCGAGCTCCGCGGGCTGCTCGTCTGGAGGCTTCTGCGGGGCCTGGCCTCAAGTCACGGCGGGCTCCCACAAGAAAAGGCTGCACAGCGGGCTGCTCAAGAAGCCGACAGCTGAGGCGTCAGCGCGGCTAGCACAAGTGAGGCCGTCACAGCGGGACTTGACAAGACTGAAAAAGGTGCTCCGCGGGCTACCCTCGACAGCTTGTAACTGAGGCTGCAACAGGGCTGGTAAATCGCCACGTCTCCGCGGGACAGGCTGACGGCTACAGCTGAACAGGCTAAGGCGCAAACTGAGGGCGATGCGGCTGCATGGGCTGACTGACCGGGCTGAAAGCAGGATTTGCACTAGCGAGGGCAGAAGAGAGTGAACATGGGGAACATGACTGGCAAGTCCTATGCAGCGGCTCTGAGGCGCAGGCTACCGAAAGTGGGTGCTCAACCTTTGCAAAGGTAAAAGTGGAGCTCGGCCAGGCTCAGGCGAGAGCAAGGCTCAGGGCCGGACCCTCAGCGGAGGATGTCCACGAAATGCTGCCAGACCTGAAAGGCCAGGGCTGCAGGGCTCAAGCGAGAGCAGTCAGACACAGGGCTGCGGCCTAAAGCTAAAGCCTAGCGGGCTGAAGGTACTGTCTTGCGAGGACAGACGCCAAGCAACTCAAGCGAGAGCAGGGGCAGGCTAAGGTCTAGGCTGCGGCTTTTGACCTGAAATCAAGCGAAGCTCAAGTGAGAGCATAAGACCAAGGCTATGCTTGTTGCAGGCTAAAAACTTTACAGGTAGAAAGCGTTCTACTCAGGCTGTTTAGGTAGGGCTAGTTTTGACCTAGGAGCACACGTGGCAGC